GTTCTGATAAAGAGCTATAGTTCTAGTACATAGGTGATGTAGTATGTAGCGGAATCGTAGGTACCAGTGAAGGAAACCGATAATAACTGGTAGCAGCTGTTAGCGTACTGCCAAAAGCAAGAGGCTACGCTTTTCCTGTTAACTAGGAGACCCTGGCACTTTGGTGGTGACGGGACCGAGGACGGTGCCAGGAACTAATAACAACTGATGTGGGATACAATAAACCTCAGAAGGGGCAAGCCACTAGAATTATTGCATTAACAGCGGCTCCATGACTTTTCAGCATGTGTAGGTATCGGCACATAATAACTATCACTTGCCGTACTCTGTTAGCCCTGCGTAACTTTCGTGTACAAAGAGGTATCATTTCTTCCAAAGAAGGAGTGGGGCTGGCAGGTTGTTACAGTTCTGTCATAAGTAGAAGGGTAGCTAGGCGATACCTGGACGATCCGAGTGGTTCTCCCATAATCTGTCTACCTGTGCGAATTGGCTCATATTTTTCGAGATGAAAGGTTTGCTTTAAGGCAGCTGGGAAGAGCAATTCCACGAAAATCTTCCCTATCCATTCTAAGCATTAGGTATTTGCTACAACGCAAGTCATAGTGTTAATCGAGATTGGCAAGAAAACTTCTCAGTTGGAGGGGAAAGTTGTTGATTGAGCAACTAAATAGTTTATCTAACAAACAGAACAATAACGGTCTACGTGATAGAAAAACTTTAAAATCTAGAATTCAGAGTTTGAATGGTCCAGGGTGCCAACAGCTTGTCACCTTGTGTGGTGTTGGAGTGATAATTAACGATGGGTGATGGTCAGGGTTTACCCATTGCTTTCTAGCATATAATATACTTTCCTTCTTGAGGGGCTCCTTGAGTCATAGGCTTCTTTTCTGATATTGGAGGAAGTAGATTTTTATGCTCATAGACTATCATATCATGACAGGATAAGGAATAGTGTCCTGTGATAATCAAACCTTTTTTCGGGATGCGACAGGCGTTCGACTTTCGTTCAGAATCGCAGTAACCCTTTACTGAATGCGTGCGTGGCCTATAAAATTGTAGTGGCCAATTGCTGTAGAAGCCGACGCTTCAACCTCCGAAGCGAATTTCGTACCAATTAACCGATCTCTGAAGGATGGAAAGCTTGGTTGGCCTGGGCGAGCATCGACCATCGATGCCAGGATTATGCGAGCTAGGCCATAGTAGGCGAGATAGTAGGCCATACGCCACTGAATTACCTCCAATATCGTAACATGTCGAAGATTTGAAGTTTTGGTCATTAGATAACGATGAGGAAATATGTAGTAATATCGCTTCGCTTTTTTGGGCACTTCTGCTAAGTCCTGGATGAAAATCAAAGAACGTCTTGAACAATAAGTTTTTCCTCGACAGAGTTGTCACAATTTTCAACACTAATAATATTTATAATTGATATATAATAATTACATAAAGCACTTTATGGAAAAGAGAAAACAAAAACTTCACAGAGTTCTGAAACCAATATGAAACAAATACAGCCATCCATGCAGGTCAATTGCTCATCAAACTCAATTCAAATACAGTAACGTACAATAGCGAATCATCCTTTGGTCACAAACACAACGATCACCGGGATACGAAATTCCTCATAATTCGATGACATATTGGTAATAAACAGCTAATTCAGTCACGATGAAATAAGTGGCATGTTTTTAACTACCCTCCAGAACAACTTCATTTGGACTGACAAGGAAGCACTTATCAGGCGCGTCTGAGAATAGCAATGTTTGGGCAGGATTAACGATGCTCGTAGGCTTTCTGACAGCGGTCAAATATCTGGCACATGGGTTGATTTTTTGATGCCGAAACTCGACTGCACTTTTATCATAATCTGCCCCATTTCTTTTCAAAATGTCTCTTGCTATTCCACCGTTTCATACTTGACCGTGATTCGTAGGGATACGTTGAACACTATATCATCTTTCTAACACAAAACATTTACACAAGGATGTTCCTTATGTCGTGCAAATAACAAACTCATTATGAGATTGAAAAAAATCGAAAAAAAAAACGAAAAATCGAAGGGTGGGCTCAAGGAAACATGCGCTGAATAATTTTCGGTTCAGGCAGCATTGTAAGACAGCCAGTTCACTGCCACCCATTAATAAGCAGGTCAAAACGCGTGATTATCAACGAATGCACTTATTCAAAAAAGGCAAGGTAAACTCCGATATTGATATTTACATGCAGATAAAGGTGAATTAATTATTCAAAACCAGAGCTCTACCATTAAAATTCTCATAAAAGTAACGAACGTGCGTTTCTAGTAATTATCAAGACTAGCAGAGTTGACGATCGAAAAATGTCCGCGGAAAATAAATATACGATCGTTGAGAGTCCACTGCTAGATTAAATCTTCGTCTGAGACTGAGTCGTTTTTGACAGATAGTCTGGAATTGCAAGCCATTACTAATGTGAGTACAAAACGATTTCGAAAATATGAGTAGGACATTTTCGGTGGCACCCTAAAACAAACAATTATGATCTATACGTGAGAAGGCTACGATGCACACAGCTTACAAAAAAATGTTCTGTCCAACAAAAGAGCCGGAGCATATAACGCTAACAAATAAGCAATTAGCATCCTGATGACTTACCCTTTTCTCGCGGCCCACAAGCGCGCATCACCGTTTCTTGAATAACAGTGAACGTTGAAGTATGGATGGGCACATTCGACGTCCTCTTGACTATGCTTCGAGTGATAACCTGAACACAATAATGAACATCTCTAAAATGTCCGTTAGATGTCGCATCAACTTTTTGACGTTGGAGAAACCGTTGGATCTTCAAGTCAATTTTTGCTCACGTTGCTTGCGTTCAGCTTCCTTCACTACATCAACTCTGGGAACTAAAGCAAGTGTCGCTACGCTAAGGAGCGACGCTGATCACTTAGCTTTGCCAACGTATAGGAGTCAACTACCAGTATTCAGCTGGAAAGTGCCTTTACCCTCTCGGACCGCAACCGAGATGTAGTGAGGGCATACCAGTACCTTGCCACTACCCTAAGCTAGACGGCCTTTTAAAAATAGACTTTAATACTGATTCAAACCTACTTGGGACTTCTTGCTTCTTGAGATCGCCGTTGTCGACTGAAGAAGCATCACGCGGAACACGTGCCTGCTTAAAAAACCGCACTCTTACCGTTTGAAATAAGTAGTACCCTGAGACAAGAGAACGGGAGTTCAGGTAAACTCTAAAATAATGGAACTGACCTCGAAAGTTCCCTTGTTGCTTTTCCCAAACTTGCAGAAATTCCCCACTGCCGAAAAAGCTTTCTGCGTAAGTCGCCGATCTATGGACAACCTCTGAAAAAACTACTTGAATCACCAGCAGAAAATTAATAAAAATCGTAATTAAGAGTCTAGCCTCGCCTTCCACACTATGAAAGGTAGTATTAAAAACAAGTCAATTTGAAAACTCGCTTCACATGTTTTATTCATTCAGCAATGAGTAGCACAACCTACAGTAAAAACTGTCGCTACACAATGTATAGTGAGTTCTTTGAAAATACAGAAAAATAAGAAAAGAAAAATACAGATTCTGCAAATATGAAACAGAGAAAGACCGGTGCTCGTACATCATACTAATTATAGCAAACTAAAAGCTAACCTGCGCGAGGGCAGACGACAGTGATTTCGTAATCCAAGCTGGTTGCTCCACAACAGGTGTGTCGCGGATGGTAGCTGAGGAAGAAGTGCTATTCGTACTGGACGTGGACGGCGAAACATTGGAAGGCCGGCCACTCAAATATGTATATCGTCGTGAGTTTCCACTCGGCACAACCACGCAAACGTTGTGCTGCAAGAAATGAATTAACACTGATTTCCTCACAGGATTGGCCCTCAAACGAAAAAAAAAAAACTAGTGCGTGTGTTACAAGAGTTTGTTTGAGACAAAAAAGGCAAAAAATAGGTCTCGTGCATCCTGAACTAGATTTAAAACCTTGATTCTCGAAACTTTTAACCATCAATCAGCTTCACGGTTGCGGCGCTTGTGGGCTGATCGTCAGAAAAAAATCACATGGAAAAAAGGAGTTTAAAAAAGTTACCGGTTTGATATTCCTCATGTCAGTTCCAGCCAAACCACTGCAACCTTCGGAATCGCTTTCAAAGGGTGCTTTCACCTTAGAACTCCCGTGAAAGGATTGGGACAGCTGAAAAAAACTTGAAGTAAAGCGGCAGTAAAACATCAACTAATAAGCAATTTTAATGATCGCACCTTGGAAAATCGGTTGAAAGGAACTTTAGTTTCACGACTACTGCACGTTGCACTACTTTGATCAACATATACTGAAAATGTAGTCTATAAAAGTAGTCTTACACAGTAAGCACCATTCAACCTAAAAATTATCGCATCTTTGTGCATGAAGCACTAGTGTGAAAGGAATGCTGAAGTTTCACGGCGGCTTATTGACTGGAATCTCACCATGCAGTAAGATTTCTTACTAGAAGGTCAAGGACTGAAAAAAGAACTTGTCAACTTCTTTCCAGGCAAACATAAACTGCCGTAAAATTTCAATTTCAAATTATGTGGCGAACCTGTAGCCTTTTTTTGGGGTACCGATCTCTGACTAGTTTGCCAGTTTTTCACCTTAAAAACAATGTATAACGATAAGAAAGCGATAAAATTCATATCAACATTCATTATCTTTATGTTGCTAGAGCAAAAAAGTGAGCTATACGCCTATTAGAGTTGAACCTCTGTTGAAAAGATGCACTGTTCTGTAAGGCACGTTACACAAACTTCCGAAAATTGCTGAACACTTACATTGACGATAGGAGTTGATCCAAAGCTGTCATCAGATGAGTCCGAATCTTAAGCAAAAATTCACTCAGCTGTTCATTAAAATCATCTTTAGAAAGTTTGAAGGCATTAAAGGTATTTTTTACACCCGCGCTGACACAGCAGTAATTACTGTGTCAAGTTGGGAGGAGGAGGAGGAGGAGGAGGAGGAGG